TCCTCCAGTCAACTATTCTGAAGTTTTGTAGTACGTTGTAGAAGGTGATAAGATATAATCTTAACTGATAAAAAAATAGTTAACTTATTGAATTCGATGTCGGCGCCTGATTCCTCCATCCAGCGGGGGAAAATCATCGCCCTCTCCTGAAGAACAACATTCACTATACTTTCTGGACAAATGACCTTAACAGTTGACATGCTCGGAAACTCTAAATAATCAAGCAATCAATCGAATTCTTTTATCTTAATCAGGTATTTGGGGGATTAAAGAAACGTCCACCAAAAATCGACCTTCACTTCCAATTTGTCACCTTAGGCAATCGCGGATCCACGGGGAGGAAAATGAAGGAAATTTCCCCTCCTGAAATTTTTCAGTGACTATTTTAACTTCATGCAAACATATTTTCGGATAATCATTATAACCATAAACATATCGCAGCATGAGCTAAGTGTAGCCTGCAATATTTTACAAAAACTATAATGACATATTCGACCATATCATTTTGAAGTTCCCCTCCCAAAATTTGGTTTTTGATCCGTCCCCGTCTTAGGCACTCGCCTACTTATCCCCAGGCAGAAAACCACATATGCGGAGGTGTATTAAGCAAATGGTCGTGAGTTATGCAGGAGGTTATGATACAATTATTATTGGAGAGCTACCCGGTTGTTTCTTTACTCAGAGATGTACATCTCAGATTGCTCTGCACACCGGCTTTCTCGACGTACAGAAGAATCAACTTTGTCAACCTAGTCTAATACTAACACGCTATACAATCTAACACACTGAAAAAAACACAAACAACTGTGATACCAAGGCTGGCAACGCTCCTCTGTTATTCCAGTACGAGAAACTTCTGTTCCAAATGTACCAGTAGGCACGAGAAAATTACTGCCCCAAATTCAAATAAATTCAATGTAAATGAAATTGCAAGTAGCGTTCCGTCAGCGTTTAGGAGTGGGCGTGGCAGTATTTAAATGTCTGTCAAGCGCGCAGCGCATAGATTAAACCTTCATAACTTCTTAACTAAAGTAGGTATAAATATATTTTTTCACTGAAGTTCAAAATGCACACTTTTCAAACCCATAGAAAAAATTGGATATTTGGAACCCAGATAACTGTAACTACCCTCTCAAGGGAATAGTGCTGGGCGTTGTGCAGTGGCACGCAGGAGGTGCGGACGCCGCCGATGCAAGGCCCCCTGCGATTGATGCGTTCCGCGCGCCATCTTGAATTATTCATCTTCGCCCTTTCAATAACCGGCCGCCTGTAAGTTTCTAAATTGTCCATTAACATGATGGGGATACATCACGACTAATCGCCCCCCGAGTATTAATGAAAAACAAACGCAATGAGCAGCCTAGTTCGGCCTGTCGTCTTATTAAGATGTAAGAGAGCACCCTGCCGCCGAGTCGCCATCTTGTCTCGCGGCCCGATTTCCTTATCTTGACGCGTTCCGCCTGCGGGTCTGAAAGTTCCGGCAAGCGCGAATTGAGGGAGACGACGGACCATAAAATTACGGTATTATGCTGGGGTAACGCGGCGTGAAATGTCATGCTTTGATAGTCGCCGACGTGCGTTTCAAGTCTTTTCGATGGTTCGATATTCATCTGCTCTTCACATCGACGAGAAATTTGCAAAACGACGCCTGTCATTTCTTATCCGCGTGAACACAATGAAATGGTCTGATTTTTTTCTCGATATGGAGGGGGGGCATTATTGGAATGCGCACACGAGCGTAACTTGTCTGCTTCACGCGAACTGCAGCTGTCGTGTGCGCATCTTTTACCCCCAATCTACCTTCGAGTATCCGTTCATCGAGATATCAACTACACCATTATGTTCGTCTGTTACGGTTGAAATGCAAACTTTTATATTCCATTTCAGAGTTCCGGGTTTCTTTTGGGCTCTTTTTCACGGGCTATATTTATCCCGATAAATATTTCATTTAAATAATGGCGCATCATTTTGATAAGAAGATACTGAAAGGCAGGTGCTTGATGCGAATTGGTTGCAAAACTTCACGAAATGAAGCAACTAGTGATTGCGAAATAGAATTGTCAGAGCTATAATATGGTAAAGGAAATAATCGTCAAAAAATCTTTCGGGAAATAATTTCCCGATAGTTAACTCTGAGTAATAATTTATTGTATAAAAATTATTTAACCTTTGTGGACGATTATTTCTTTTACCATATTGTGGATTACCACAAGATATCTGCTGCCACAACGGAATTTATCAGGGCTATATCATGCCTATTTTATGTTGTGTTAATCACTGCTATTATGTTTCAAAAAACGTTTTTGGAATTACCATAATAGCATTGGGGTATTTGTAACTATCGTCAGCACATTTGAGTGATAATGGTAATCGACGAGAGATTTTTTCCGATTGGCGTGTAGTTTAATTGCAGGTCTGAAAGAGTAACATACGTATACTTCAGCAAACATATCGAAATTCGTTTATAAGGCGATTATAAGTTTACTTCACTCTAGGAACAGAATCTTTTTTGAAGAAGTTGAATATACATACGTATTATTAGAGGAACATTTCTGATGTGACTGATGTGCATTAGATAAACATTTCTTTTTTACATACTATCATTGTGGAAAAACAAGGATATAGAATTTATAACAAAACCTTTCGTGGTATCGAATTAGTGTATTTGAAAAAAATTGGAAAGTTCTTGAATGCTTTCTTGAATGCGTCACCCTGCATGTCTGTGGAAATACCTCAATTTACATAACTTGCAGTTCTGCTACAATTTAAATTACCCTCTCCGGAAGTGAGCAATACCATAAAATTCCACACCAACTGCTGCGTTATAACGAAACATTCCTTTGCTCAACCATTCTTCCTTCATCAACGTAGTCTTGAGATTTTAAGAGAATTTGTGAACTTTATGGATACTTATGGGTGATCTGTGGAGAAGTAATTAAGGCGTTAGATTCCTAAGTTCAGGTCTCCAAAGAAGTTTGCAATATGTGGTAGACTTGACGGGAGAGCACGCAAAATTTCTCGACGTTTTGTTTCCACTTTCTCTGATTCCACCATTACTTCATGGCACTCGCAAAGACGCATTAACTCACGGAGTGTCTAAAAAAGCTTTCAAGGTTAGAAATAATCGCTTGTGTATTGCTTTGAATGAAAGTATACCTAGCACTGAGAAAATTCTTTTTAAACATATTTTATGTAATTTTCCAGTTTGTTAGTAAGTGTTATGTAAGTGTAAGGAAATGGCAATTTCAAAAATATTCATGTATTATTTATTTAATATTTTTTCTCTCGTCATGAATATCCTTGTTAAATGTATGTTCGGTAAAATCTTTCTTCTGAGTCAGAAATCTATATACTTATTACAAATATATTTTATCCCATCACAAAATCTAATTAAAATTCAAATGTTAATTTATTTATTCTGAACCAAACGTAGATCGTAAATACATTTTCAATAATACTTGAATTCTTGATTTTGTTTGTAGACATTTCCCTTCTACAGTGGAGATTCTTCTAGATAATATTAAAACAACACCAACCTCTGCCACTCACTTAATTTGCGTTCGTATGTTGCCTCTTGTATGAAGTTTATTTATTGTAATATTTAACATAAGGCTAAATTAGTAGTACTACGACAGCACAAACATTATTATATAATTGGTAATGGTTACATATTCTATTATTTGTAAAGAGGAAAAGAAAACTGGGAGCGTCAGACACCCTTAGCATCACTAGGGATGAAGGTGAGATGTGAATACAACGAATGTTTAATTTATTTTATAGGTGGAATAGCAATAAATTCGTAAAAATATAATTCTCAGTTAAGAGCAGCATCACCTATATTATAACACGAAACACTATTAATCTATGAAATATAAATCGGAAAGTATAATAGTATTTTTACTGTTGGTGTGTTAGAGAAGTAGCCTTTGCCTTATATTAGCCAAAGTGATTCTCGAATGGGAAATAAACATTAACATAAGCGATAGACTGAAGTATTCATAGTGCCTAACTTAAACGTAAGCAAAATAAGTTTCTATACGCTGTGAGAGTTTCTGGTTAGATGTGAAAATCGCTTTCATGATATAGGCTGTGTCTATGTCCCATATGGTATTAGTTCTTCTATCGACTTCTGTGATTGGTTCATTTCTTATGTCTTACGTAAGCATAAGCATAGAAGCTTCAAGCTTGCAAACTTTTAAGTTAACGTCTTACGTGTTATGCTTTTGCGAACACATTCTGAATGAGACCGCTTATTGACGTAGGTCTATCTTTTGTGTTAACGCCAAGCTTATGTTTACGTTTGCATTGTGAATGGACCTTTATTCCACAAAAATTACCGAAAATTCGAGGTGCACCTCCTAATTACTAAGACGAGTACTCTTTCATTTTCCCCCGTCTTATTTTCTCGTTATTGCTGCTGTCGCATGAATTGAATTGAATTAATGCCTTATTTTACGTGGCGAGACTCAGGCCATCAGGCCCGCTCTTCCGTCTGACCACACAAATTTCACTACGTTCCTTTCACCAGCTAGCCCAGAAGAAGCCCCGAGAAACAGGCGATTTTGGAATTAGCCCTCAGAGGCGATCATTTAGCCCTTGAGGATCTTTTACATACAAGATAAATTACCAAATGGAACAGCCGGCTTTACTTCCCCTGCGAAAGAACGCATAAGAAGGATTTTTTCGCCCTTAAACATATCAAAATTTCACACGGGCTTCGATGGGTCTGAACCGCCAATTTGGGTACAACAGTCCGATACGCTACCGCTACAGTCCGATACGTTAACCGCTACAGTCCGCATACGCCTAACCGTTACAGTCCGATACGCTAACCGTTACAGTCCGATACGCTAACCGTTACACCATCGCCGCCGCATGAGTACAGCTATTATCGTCTGGACGACTGACGACTCTTCTCGTCCCCGTCCGCGTGGCCGCCTCCTGCGGTGGCTCCCAGCGCCGAGTTAATTGCGGCGGCGAGGCTCGCACACCGAGAGCTGATGCTATCGCCGCCGCCGCCGCCGCCTCCGCCGTCGCGGCCCCGCTGCATTTGCATTCAGACGGCCGGGCCACGAGAACGCCGCGCCGGCCGCGCCGCCGCCCGCGTCGCCGCCATCTCACCTGCGCGCCGCGACAAAATGGAGGTGTCGGGAGGCGGATTTACGAATGAGAGCATCGGCCCGTTTTGAGTCGCCGCGATTATCGCTGTAGATTTTGTTTACATGTGACGTACAGAGCGCCTGTATATGCCACACGTACGTTTTACATAGCTGAGTGTACCACCAGAGGAGAAAGAATGGGAGTGTAAGAAATAACTTCAACTTCCGTTTTACTTGTTAAATAATTTAGTATGGTCTGAAATCATGAATAGAAAAGACCTCAAAAGTGGCTCTCCAATAATAGCGAATAGTAAATAAAAAGTGAGTGGAATTGATACAATATCGAGAATAAATGTTGGTCGTTGATGAATATGAACTGTCAGTTACCTTCACCATATTCAACCTTCGTTTGGAAGAAAAATATCAAATACGTAATATGCAAGCAGTTTTTAAGCTGGCTAATACTGACATATATTGCATTTTTGAAATGATTTATAACTTATAAAATAGTCGCTGTTTCTTAAACCACAATATGTATGCAAGAAATAATAACACTTTTGTCTGCCTTTCTCTTTTTATTTTCACTTCCTGTTTCTTCCCACAGTTCAGCGGTGGGAATGTTCTCTATCTCAAACTCCTTGCAGGCTTCTGCTTGTCCAGAACACTGTACGAGGTCTTTCGGTCACTGTAACTCAACTAAATTTGCAAGTCACGTGTTCTGCATATTATTGCTCTGGAAGAACTTATCTTTCGACCTTGAGTGTGTTCATGTCCGTAACTTAACATTCTTGTTTGAAGTTGTTTTTCCTCTATATTCATCGTAAATTAACTCTCGTTTTGCTCAGAGGAGCGTGTGTTCCCATACAATAGCTCACAAACAACGTTATCGCTATAGCTCAAAAACCCTTATTCTTCCTTTCGTCGCTATAATATCTGAAGTTAATAACGTATCTGCTACGTGTTTTTTAGCATTTATTTCATGATTATCTCAACTCGTGAAATAGTTTGTTTTTCGATAAATAGATATATTGTTCCTTGGAATTTAATATCTACGAGAAACTACTTATTTGCATTATTTTGTTTTGCAAAATTAAAATTGTGTATGACTTCTGCTAATTATAATGAATTTTTGGGTTATATGAGGACCATGAAATCAAATTTTATTGCATACTAACAACTTCTTTACTTTCGCATCACGAATTATCTTTCAGACCCAAGTTTTCGTGTCTTGTATCGTTGCAACTAATGAAACAAATTGCTTTCAATTTAACGTTATCTTCATCTTTCATAAATATAAAGTAATAATCTTTCTTTATTTGTGCGAGAGATTATATATACTTCTATGCTTAATTACAAACGAAACCTAAATAACCATAAACATAGATACTCGTGTTATCGCGAGGACGACTTAAATATCAAATAAATTCTTGTAATGTTAGAAAGATATCTTAATTAATAAGGTAAATTAATTTGTGGACTTGCCTGGCGGCAGGGAGAAAGAGAGAGAAGTTTGGCCAAATTAACTACTCTACCATCAACCCTGATTCGGCAGGGTCCTTTGACGTAAGCCCAAAACGAAACAAAAACATGCATGGGTACACAATTTTAATTGCTCTAGGGAATCGGACATGAAACAAGAGTCTTCTGTGCATCAATTTTGATTCGACATAAAATGGTCTGCACTCCGAAGTCGTCGGTTTAGATTCAGAATCGAGAAGCATCGCTACTCGTGTAATTAAATAGCGAGTTGGAGAATGGCACAGCCTTGGAGCGTAAGACCAGAGGCCAGTCATAGCAAAAACATGTGAGGATGTTGCTACTCCATTTATATATCGTACAGAAAATAATTGAACAGTGAACGGTAGCTACGAAACAGGATTATTTTTGAAGAGAACACTTAACGGGTGTATCTAGAGGGACAACATCGTAAAGAATACAGGTTTTCTTACTAATGAAAATAATTTCTGTTTCCTTTAATAAATTCCTTAAAGGTGCGCAAGCAACAAGATTTTGTGCCTTTGTTTTTGATGAATTGGTGAGTGTTCTCGGTTTAATTAGAGACGTTTGCTTGAGTTATAAATATAATAAATATGTCATTTTGCTCTAGTAATACCCGATAAATAGCTGGTTAGTTTCTGAAAGATTCGTGGTTTCAAAGGCATTCTGCAGCATTGAATGCGGAAGGTACCTGGTACAACTCCAAATATTTGTCGTGCAGGTAAAATATTAATTAGATTCTCATAATACGATATTGTAGAAGTTAACTTAATTTTATAATATTAATGTTAGTGGAATAAAACACATTTTGGAACATGCATTTATAAGTTATTAAGCATTCTTCAACTATACTACAAAGATATAGAATAATTACACAAATAAAAACATTATTTTAATGAAGATCATAATATGTAACTCCATTATCATTGCAAAGTTACAAATGCAATTAATTTTAACTATAAAGATTAAATGTAATTAATTAAAAAAAGGATGAAATTTATTGATAGGACAACTACTAACACACGCAATCTTTGAACTCCTTAGATTCATGTTAAATTAATGACGGGTTCGGCAAAAAATAACTCGAGCCAGGTAGGGAGGCAGAGCTATTGCCAATAGTATAAACCCAGAGTGAACTGAAAAGCATAAAAGCTGAATGGAAATTAGTGATAAGTTCTTAGTGATTGAATCTAAAAGTCACAAGTTTAGATTTCCATTTTGTGTAACATTTTATATATCTATTTTGTAAATCATTTTATTTATATCTAATATTGTGCAAAAAAGGTAATATTTATTTGGTTTTAATATATTAAGTTAATGAAATTCTACAGATTTTGAGTTTAATTCAAGTACAAACTTTGGCAAGTTGAGTGACAAATCATTTCTGAACGTCACTCTCACAATTTTTCCGAGCGCTTGGCAATGTTGTATTGTTTTCGAAAATATTACGCCACAGATGCCATCTCACGTCAGGGTTAGAACATTGTTCTCGTTGCAGATTGTGTCGGGTGCGTGTGAGCTGCGTGACCAGAAGAGCCGACGTCAACATGGGTGAAGCGGGGCGACGCGATGTGTCATGTGTCCGGCGAGCGGAGCTGGGCATCAGGTCGCCTCTTGTCACGCGGTCACTTTGCACAATTCTCCCTCCAGAGCACAACTCTCCTTCACTGCGAGTGCTCGTGCACCGGGCCAATCCCAGTTCAAGAGCTTCTACTTTCTCGCTACGGAATAGAGAGAAAGTTATGTAAAGCTGCGCGAAAAAATGGCGAATTTTCGGCACAAAAACTCTTATTACACGGCCGTGATAACGAAAAAGTGGATAAATCGTATTCCTAATTTTAAAAAAATTCTTAACACGTGATCTAGCCAGAATCCATCTTTTGTGAGTCCTTGATACCGAAAAATCGAATGACGACAAAACGTCTGTCCGTCCGTCCGCCTGGCTGCCCGTCTCTGTCTGTGAGCAACTCTACCAGCTAGACCGTTCATTAATTTTAAATTTTAAACAATTATTTTCTCAGAAACAGGCGCCCATTTTTTCTTATATAATTTTTTTCACATATGTAGTCAAGAACTGTAAAGAAAGTGGTGCTAGTTCCATGTTCCATTTGCTCGATGTACTTTCGAAAATTGAAAAAAAAAATCGAAATGGGAAAGTCGAATTTTAGATTGAGGGAGTATTGAAATGCTTATCATTGTCGCCGGACGTGATGATCGTATATATAAATGAAATTTAACTAAAGGAAATAGAGTTAAGGAATGTTATATATTTAAACTAGAGCTAACAAATACATTTTTTTATTTTAGAAGTTTTGATTGCTGATTATAGTATGCAGTAATTGCCAACTCACTTCCATGTAATCAAGGCAAGCTTGTGTGAAATATTATTGGTCATTTTCTCTATAATACGCTGTAAATAATGTAAGAGTTAAATTTATTCATTCTTCTTTAATTTGTAAAAGTTATAAATGACTACGTTTCCTGGTTATTAAAATAAATATGCACCACATTTGAATTGGTTGATTTGGACTTTAAGTTGTGACAAGTTGAGTGTTTAATATGGCAGAAATTATAATTACAGTCATACTAAAAACAATTCTGTATTTCTATATTACGTAACTTTTCCCAATAATACAAGATAGTATGTGCTGTTGTGGCATCTATAGTATTATCAAACCTTTAAGCGGTGCTTTTCACAGTTTCACCTAACGGTATAAGTATGTGTGAGATGGTGGCGTGTTTCCTTGCACTGTTTCAAAACCTGCAAATCAGTGTTCAAGAATTGCATTTCGTACTTTGTGCTTTATAATTCTATTCTTTAGCCCTTTTTACACTATCCGAAGTACTTTCGCATTTACCTCAAACGTTAAACGACAGGTGAGCTTGATATCGTGACTGCCAAAGAGCCAAATCTTCTACGATGACTACTCCTTGAACGGCAACGAGAGTTTAATATGTTTGCAATAACAAACCCGCGCCTTCAGCATAATTATTTTCCTCAAAAATATAATATCGTGATTATCTGCGGGTATCCATTAAATATTCAAATGGAATATACATTTTTGAATAAAAAATGAATGTGGAACACGCTGTTCTTAGAATGATACAATTCGAATTATATAAGATGGAATTATTGTAAAGTTGTAGTCGCTAAGGTAGTTGTTGATGCGATTATAATAAACTAAAAAAATGATGGAATTAATCGGAACTGTCTGAACTATTTCTTCGAGGACTGTCTTGCACGTCGCTGATGACCCTCTGGTCCAAACATTTCAAGCCGCTGTATCCCATAGGGCGAAAAGCTCGCTGACTGTCTGGCCGCAGTCAACCGCTCATTAACCGGTGCGTGAGGCGCTATCAAATTAAAGGACGGCGCGGCGCGGCGCCTATCTCCCATCGGCGCACGGCGGCTCGCGGGCCCGGAAGTCGAGCGCTGCCCGAGAGGGCGCGCCGCTCGCGCCGAGTGGGGACAAAGTGCGAAGGCGCGGGTGGGTTCGGGGTTTATCTTTGTACGAGCCGGACCCCACGGCCACCTGCAAGCGCCCGAGAGATATGCTGCGTTAGGCCAATACTTGCATGAAAATTGCGGTAAACAACGCCAAAAGCGCGCCGAACGGCTATTGTCGTTCCTGACCCCGTTCATTTTCTATAATACAAATCAGCCATAGATGTATGGGATAGGAATCTCTACATAGGAGGGACGCGTGGCTGCATTGCACACCGCGGCCACACGGAACTGTGCTGCGAAGCAAGGCGTGGATGGGTTGGTTGGTCACTTGGTTGTTAGTGCTTCCGGGAGCGTCAACGGCTAAGGTCAGTAGTCCCGTAAGTGTAGTGCATGTTCCCCCCTTGGGATGTGGTGGTACCTACCGGCGGCTAGGGTTTTTTTAATCAACCAGGTGTCTCCCACTAGCGGGGCACCGTCCCGGCCAGAACAAACTCTTAAGCTCACGACCCTTTTCCCGGCATGAGTAGTGCATATACGTGTGTGTGAGGATAGGAGGAAAGAGGAAGGAGAAAGATCGCGCGCGGTCTGTGACCCGTTTGTTAGGGTACTGCTCCGGCATACTCCTGGTGTTGATCGGAGAAACCACGGAAAACTGCCGACCAGTGCATTCGGCCGCTAGAATTCTCCTCCAGGCAGCGAATAAACTCAACCAAGCTATCTGCTTAGTGTCAAAAATCCTGCCACCGTCGGATCTCGAACCTTGGACCTCGCGGTCAGAGAGACTGCAGAGACATCAGTTGATGCCCTGAGCTACTTCTTACGGTGGCGTAGTCGCTGACGCGATGGTAGTTGCCTCGAGTAAAATCAGATGTTGAATAAAAGTAAGGTTTGGAAGAGGCAAGAACTGTTTCTCAAGCGCGTATTTTACCCGACCGGATTTATATATAAATGGAACATCTATCACTTTTTTAGACCAGAATAAATAATTATATTTTTGGACGGCGTATAGATACAATTGGACTAAATATTGATACAAACATAAACATTTTACAAAAGCAATGACGTTTGGTTCTTCACCAAGAGGTATTTATCACCAGGCGAAATTCACTTGGGTGAGTAAACATTCCGCGATATTTAATACTTCTCTATTGCTTTCTCTCGTGCCCGGCAAAGACGTTCTCTAACTTCAAAATCTGTTTATAATTGCCGTTCAAAGGGACCTTGTCGGGGCAGATGGAGCGACAATGTAGACGGGTCTGCGTATCGATTTGAGATGGGCGCGACACCAGACGAGGGTGGAGAGTGAACCATCACGCATGCAGACAGATTTGACAGCTTTTACAATTTTCTAAGTGGGTTTTTACTAGTGGAAATCTGCGCGTATTATTTTAACCACAAAATCTAGAAGTCATGATCTGTTGCATCTAAATAGGATTTTGTATTGAAAAACAAGTGTATATTACAGGACTGATCCTCAGACTCACGAAACCGTGAATACAAATATGAAGAAATGCAAGCTAATATATTTTATTTTCGTTCTCAGATAAAGTTACGGATCAAAATGGAAATGATCCATGAAAAAAATACACAATTACTTGCATACATAATTATTTTTTATGGTAATTACCGTATATCATGGTAATTATATATATATATATATATATATATATATATATATATATATATATATTACGTATGTTAATATACTGTGTATTATATTAATATACTGTTAATATACTGTGTATCATATTAATATACTGTTACAAAATTCACTACTTACCAAATTCCACCATTTGAAGTTTATTTTCCTTTCGATGGGTGACGGACCTGAAAAAAGAAAAAAATAGTAGATATAGCGCTTGATAATAATTACTTCGAACTATTATGCATAAATATATTTGTGTATCAGAAAATTCTTGAATTTTATTGCTTAATTGTAATTTAATTGTAAAACAAGTTCTAGTATTTTTACAATTCTTGGGTATTAAAATTTGTAATATATACAAAAGTATTGTTGCACATTTTATGAAAGATGTTGAGTAAGGATGAAAGATGATCAAGGCGTGTTGAAACAGAAATAAAAGACAGTTGTCTTGACCACGTATAAATATTCATTTCAATGATATAGCCACAATATTAGCTAATCAACAAAACCAGGCATGGAAAAAAATTCCAAAGTACATCACACAGAAAAAACTTTTATTTCGTTATTGAAGGACGAATCAAAATTTAAGTCATTAGCGACCACTATTGGATTTAACGTTCTGGTTACTGTGAAGATGGCATGATATGGTGATGAGAGGGGGTGAAAGAACGAACACAATACAACCATGCCCGAGGCGGGACTCCAACCCGCAATCCTTCGGTCCGAGATCCCTACGGCACTTCTGCCTTAACAATCTCAACCATCCGGATTAACCGTTTATCTTTAATACCTGAAATAATTACGTTGAAAGTCTTTGAATCCTGGAAAATGAAATCACTTGGCAATTTAAGATTGACGGGAGCGAATTGAGAAGGGTCGACGGGCTGAGATTAAGGCTGTGTCCGCGGAACGCAGGTCAGACGAAGGCGAAAGAAGAGATGCAGGCGAAGGCGGTGGCGTCGCGAAGGTGAAGTCAAAGACGACGGTTCCGACGAATTGGCAGAACTGAGGCGTTGGCGAAGAACAGGGGTGTCCAATTTGAGGGGGCGGCGCGGAGGCGGCGCAAGGCGGCGCGAGGGCGGCGGTGAGCGGCCGTGGGCGGCGCTCGCGCGGCGCGGAGGGGCGCGCGGGTCGGCGCGGGGGCGAGCGCGGGCGGCACGGTGACGGGCGCGGAGTGCCTCGGGGGGCGGCGCGGGGGCCGCGGGCGTCGCGCGAGCGGCGCGGGGGCGGCGCGGGGGGCGGCGCGGGGGGCGCGCGGGGCGGCGCGGGCGGCGGCGCTGGGGGCGCGCGGGGGCGGCGCGGGGGCGGCGCGCGGGGCGGCGCGGTGGGGCCCGGGGGGGGCGGGGGGCGGGGGGGGCGCGCGAAGGCGGCCGGGGCGGCGCGAGGGCCGCGCACAGGGCCGACGCGGGGCGGCACGGGACGGCGCTGGTGCCTCCGGGGGCGGCGCGGGGCGTGGCGGGGGCGGCGCGGGGATGCCGCTGGGCCGGCGCCGGGGGCGGCGCGGGGCGGCGGGGCGGGGGCGGCGCGGGCGTGGGGACTGCCGCCTCCGCCTGCGGCGCAGCGGTGTGCCCGCGACGTCGGGCCAGCGGCTGCCGATTGTATCTCCGGCTTTAATTGCTCTGTGTGGTTAAAATGGATTTAAA